TATAAAAAGAAAGATAGATATAAAAAGAAAGATAGATATAAAAAGAAAGATAGATATAAAAAGAAAGATAGATATAAAAAGAAAGATAGATATAAGAAGAAAAGATAAAGATAGTAATATTATAATTAGAAGATAAGGCTATATATAGATTTATACTTAATTCTTAATATTTACTACTATTAATAAGCAGAATAAATATAGTTAAGGTTAGTAAATAGTAAGAATTAATAAGTAGAGTAAATAGAATTAATAAGTAGAGTAAATAGAATTAAGATTAATAAATAAGAAGAATAAATTAAGATAATAATAAGAGAATAAACTAAATAATAATATCTTTATATTATTCTTAACTATAATTTTTATTTACTTTTCTTTTATTTTATCTTTATTTTTCTTTTACTTTACCTTTCTTTTAGATTATAAATAATCCTACTACTATAGATTATGGTTATCTTATAGTATTAATATTATTTTTATTTAAGATATTAAAGAATCTAAAATAGTATTAATATAGTTATAGAATAATATTAAAATAAGAAGAAGACTAAAGTTTTATTAAGTTATAAGAGTAGTATATTTCTTATTTAACCTAATCTAGTCTTAGTCTACTAAATAACTATTATTTATGCTATCTTACTAATATAAATTAGTCATAACCAGTGAAAACAAGTCACAACCTTAAGTTAACACCAAATGTGGGCACCTAAGTAGTCAAAGACAGGTCTTGTTGGCCATCCCAGGCAAGTAACTTGCAACCTGGGGATCTCACGGGGCAGGGGTCAATGACAGCATGACCCGAGAGGACATTGAGGGGAATCTTTCTCATTCGAGAAGCTTTCATATGCTGTTTAGCCCCTCGTTTATTTTGCGCTCTTTTAGCTATTCCTCACTCAGAGCCTAGGAATTGGCGATGATTCAGCACAGCATCCAATGCCGTAACATCCTTCTGACGCCGCCCTCACACTCTAGATGCAGAACGTCCTTAAGAGTCAGAAGGTATCCGTGCTAATTGTGATGTCAACTCGAAAGGTTGATAATATGGACTTGTAATGAAGCTGGGTTCCAGCGGAAAGGTAAACTGAGTATGTCTGGATCGCATGCGAAGGCGCAGGTCCACAAGGTAGCTTTACCGGTTTCGGACGTGTCTGCTGGCTGGCCATTAGGTCTTCTGAAATTGTCCTGAACTTATAGTCAAATGCCGGCTGACTTCGGCGTAGTTGGGCAAGATGGCCGAGTTGGTCCAAGGCGTGAGGTTAGGGTCTACCTTAATATCAACTTTCCAAGTTCCTCATCATCGTATGATGGCGTGGTCGAATCCCACTCTTGTCATTTCTTTTTTGTGGCCCCTCTATATAGAGGCCTTGGTCAGTCACGTTCAATAAAAATGAACTATATATACTCTAGTCCAAATGAAGACAAACAATACTTATATCAAAAATGTCAAATATAACAAGGGTGGCATTCGACCACGCTCTTACGATGATAAGGAAGGAACTTAGAAAGTTGATGTTGAGGTGGACCCTAACCTCATCAAAAATGCACTCCAAACAAGTAGATATCACTTGAACTTTGCCACCCAACTTAATGACAGACTCCATTCACATTTGTCGAGAAGGCACTGGCCGGGAAGGCTTCACTATCGACAACGGTTGTAAAGGTAATTCGAATGACAGATTCCGTTCCGAGCTGCCGAGAATAGTCCTCAGTATACAGTTAAGCAAATGGTTATGTAACAGAGAAACAGAAAGTCTGATCAGTAAGGTATTCCGTTTGTCAATAATTGGAACTGATCATATCCCTTTGTTGAAACGCTCATGTAGGACTTGCGAATGAGTTCCCGCATGTACTCGGCTGCCTCCCTCTCATTCTTCTCTAGCACAAACCTGTCACGGAAGTTCTTGAGCGTATCAGGTTTGAAGCACGGCAGGCCGCTATCAAGCATCAAAGACACAATATGAGAGAGCTTGGTGCAAAAGGGACGGGATGCCAGGAATGCCTTTATTACCAAGGATTCGAACCACCGGTACGGCTGTGTAGAAGTTGGGTTGTTGGAGTGCCCTCCAGGTAAGCCGAGCCCGCCGTTCGAGCCACCATGTGAATGGACATGTGGATGTGAAGTACCACTCATGACAGCCACCATCTCGGATGTGAGCTTGAAAGGTGCGCGCTCAAAACGTACACCACCTGGAGCAATGTCAAAGCAGAAGCCAAAGTCAATGTGTATGATATGGCCTGCATCATCGATCATAATGTTACCGTTATGCCGATCTTTGAACTGCAAAAGGTAAGAAATGACTGAATAAGCAGCCATACTCTTCACAAAATTCGTTCGCGCTTCCTGGAAACGCATGGAATGCTCCCCACCGTACTTGGAAATGAAGTAGTCGTAAAGACCATTTACTGCTTCACGACCTAGCATATCACGAGAGATGGAGTTGGGAAGAACATCAATTACTCCGCAGCCAGGAGCCGTCGAAGTCACTCTGTAGGGAAATACCCAAACGTCAAGCCCTGCACTGGCAAAGATGCTGCGAAAAGCCGCGATCATCTGCAAAGCCAGCATGTCCTGGCGACAGTCATCACCAACCTTGAAGATAGCCGACTGCCAAACTTCGTAGGTCTCTTGGGATGAAGGAGAATGCAGAGGCGCCGAGAAGGTCTTCGTCGAGTCATCATGGCCAGCAGTACACGGGCGGGATTGGCCCTGGGAATCCCGTTCATCCCCAGGGGCCCTTGTTTTTTGAATCCGAAATGTTGCCATGTACGGAGCCTTTGCGTGGCTCTGTAGTGGTTTACCAGATTTTCGGTCGATTCCAACAACGACTCCATCAGGATTGCTCGGGAGGTATACACCAATCTCGACCTTAATTTTTCGAAGTTCTTCCTCGATCTTCGCCTTCTTCTCGGGTTTACTTTTCTTGATATATGGCCGAAGCTTTCCTGATATACCCGTGATGTCGTTGAAGAAAGAAAACTCCCTTTCATAAAAATCACGTTCCTCGTCGCTGAAGCTAGAAATGAGAGTGTCCGTGAAACGGTCAAGAGTCGGCTTGAGCGGGTCGGGCTGTCATTGGATGTTAGTCAATTGTCCGCCCACGAGGTATCATAACGCACAATCTGGGAGTCTTCGTCCTTATAAGAGTTGGCTTTCATGTTCCAAATCACTTGATGGGCAAACAATTGCGATTGTTTGGCTGTCTCGAGGATGTAACGCTCTACATAGCCCAGTGCATCGTACCGCAAACCCTGAACGAGCTGTGGGACAAAGTAGAAACGAACGTCTATGGGGTGGCTTTCCAATGCTCTCATGGCGTATTGTAGAACAAATGGATGATTGCCATATGCTGGTAAGAAATAAGTCAAAGCTTCCGTGGGATTGACTGCTGCCCAATATAACAAATACTGGTATTGTCAGCTCCATCTCCTTCTTTTTCTTTGGTTGCTGGGTCTTTGACGATTGAAGAGTGGACAAACGGACCTTCAACTGAAAAGAGACATCCGAAGGCAGTGCTGCACCCAGCATGACCTCGAGACTGCTCGGCTCGTCCAAAGCCTTCTCAGGGAAATTGAGCAGTAACCAACGTATATCATTCTTCATCTTTGGGGACGAGTAGCGCGACGAAAGTTGGATCGCTAGGCCCGGACTCTCAGCCCAGGCAAGCCGCAGAAAATGAATAGCTTCCTAAGCAGGCATTAGATCCCTTGTAACATAATGCAAGGGCATGAACTGCTAGCTACTAGCACATAACGAACAATTGATTGACGAACCTCTGCAGAGTTTCTGTTTCCAGATATCTGGAAATGCTTTCGATCCCCTTCTAAAGGAAATAGCCAGACTCTTAGACGAGATCTCTCATGGTCTATGAGCAGCTGAAGAAGATCATGCTTGGCTTGCAGCGGCTTGAAGTTGCCTCGTGCGTGAGAGGGCACAGTCGAAAGTCGACGTAAAGCACGGCTAACGTCTTCAAGTATTTGGTCTTCGGCTTTGACCTGCAACCTGTTGCCCCCAAAGGACCACCTGATTGAAGTATAGAGTAAGCACTCGTCTCCGACATTATGGAAAAGGTAGGCAAACCTCGGCGGATGCTTGAACCAATCGAGCGCAGCAGACAATATTTGATCGCTGAGCTTCCACAAAGCAACCTTTTCTGGTTGATAAGAATCTTGTATAACCCTTAAACCAAAGAGAACAATACGGAAATGCAACTCTCTAGCCAAGGGGTGGCCTCTTGTTTGCAGAAGCCCGACAGTCGTCCTATCAATAAGACGACCGAATAGCCGGCGGTTTTGGGAGCTGTTTAATCGAACGGCATTAAAATGGCTCTCGAAAAAACGAAGGGCAATAAGATGCGGCGCGAGAGTGGCCTGAGCCTTCTGCTGCTTCTTCAACAATAGAGCTTTGTCACTAGGAAGAAGCTCAATCTTCGTATACATCGGGTCAACGTAGCTGAATAGTCGCAACTTCATCAATACCCCGGATTCTAAATGTGAAGGATAGTATACTCACTCGAAAGAAAGGTCGAACAAACCCTCCCTGCGCTGAATAGTCTCCTCCCAAGCTTCTATCACTTCTGCGAGGATCCTCGGTCCAAGCTTTGGATTCTCATGTATCGCTCCGAGCCACAGTGCAACACCAACGTTCATCGACTCCTCTGAGAACAGTTGAAATGGGCAAATGATCAGGTAGTGAAGAACTGAGGGCTGAAAGTAGTCTGAGCCACACAAAACAGCAGCAGCTCTTCGCAGCGTATCTCTGAATTCAGAAATGACAACACTATTTCCCGCCTTGAGCTGATTGTGGAGACGATGCAGCATTTTCTTGACATGCTCGCTGGATTCCAAAAGGCTCCGTGCGATCTTTCTACAGTCTTCGCCTATATATGTCCAGGTCAATTGCAGAAACGTGGGACAAGACGGCGGACAAACCATTGTTTTCTTCGGATCCCTGTTCCAAATATTTCGCCACGAGCAGGTTTGGGGCCCGGTACTGCTGGCGGATGGTGTATTGAGCAATAAAGTCAGAGGCAACGTTGACCTTGCTAATCCCGGAGCTCTGAATACACCCTAGGAACCTGTTAGGACATTACGGCCAGTGCAGAAACAAGAGCTTACCGAGTCGCTGATCGCTTCGGGGAATTGTGGAGCCCATATCCAGAGCGAATGAACGACCCAACGAAATGTGGCTGCCGTCAACGGTGTCGTTGGAAATGGACAGGTATGTCTACCTTCTGGTCAGCCATCAATCCTAAAAGCCTTCCTAAAAGTACTCGCCTGGAGAAGGCCTTTCACATCCAGAGGTGCAATATCTATAACCGCTGCTACCCACGCTTTAGCTCGCTCAAGTAGTGTATTCAGAGTTCTCTTCCTGGCATTGTAGTTGTCGGCAAGATCAACCTTCACAATTCCCATTGGTGATGCACAGGAAGCCTTCCACTCGAACTCATCGAGCTCTTCCTCAAGACACGACAGCCACATTACAGTCAGCAATTCAAGAAGAGCGAAAAGGGAATGTTTATCACAGAGAGCCGATGGGCATTCTCTAATGATCTTATCGGCGCAAAGCACGGCGACGCTCTGCACTCGTTCTATACGATGACAGCAAGCCATGAAGAATTGAGCCAATTCCTTCGACAAGTATGGAACAGAGAAATTCTCATCGTTCGCAGATAGGGTCAGGGACAGGTAGTCAGCCACGACTTTATCTGCAATGGAGCTCATGCAACTGGCCATGTCAGCTGTAGTCAAGGCTGGGTCGCGGAAATAACTGAGAACTTTAGTGCAATTTCCTAACGACGCACGGAGGCTCTCAACCAACAAAGAAGCGTTGAGGAAGACCACTTTTGGATAATTCAGATGTTTAATCCCGGATTCGCAATCAGGAAGCTCGGCCATAAGAATTCTCTTGAGCTCTATCAACCGTTGGGGGCTCATTCCGCGTCTAAGGATCGTGTTCAGCTCCACGTCACTCTCGAGCATCTCTATGCGATTCTCGGCGATCAGGGGCGGAGAGTGCTTTGCCAGCAAGCGTAATTCTCGAATATGACTTTGAGTAACAGCTGACTGAGTCGAGATTCCATGAACAGAGATATTAAACCAAGCATCACGAAACAGGGCAGTGATGTCTTCGTCAAAAATCACATCCGTCTGTTGTGTCCCAGTTCCCTCTTCGTCTGATGAGATGAGGAGAGCCAGAGGTCTGAGAAGAAAACTGATGGCCTCTGGTGCTAGAATAACCTCCTTTTGCCGCTCGCTTTCACTTACTGCATCGCCTTTATTCACAATACATTCCAAGAGATGAATCAAATAGACCCGAAAAAGCGGGGAATCCCTTCTCAGCGCGAGAGATATGTATGTCATTGCACCCTTGACTGCATTTGCGACATCACTAAAATTCCGGGCGATACTGTCTTGATAAGCACGGTCATAGAATTTGAGGAGGAGTTGAAACTCCGCCTGTCCTGTGCTCAGGGAGAGGGAGGCAGTTTCTCTGATGATGAGAGCATCCACTGCAATGTTGACTTTGCCAATCTTCTGTAAAAGCATTGACTGAGCTAGCGCACTAATTTTCTCATCATTAGAGCTGGTGGCAATTGTCACAATAGCACGGAGAATGTTTCTGCACGTTGCATTATCATGGTCACCAGTGGCTGAAATGGAGACCGTACTACCATTGCCAATTGGTGGTGGAACGGAAGAAACACTGTCGGGTTGCCCAGCATTCTCATTCAAGAGCTGATTATGATAATATTTGTCAGTGCCTGAGCCAGGGCTCAAAGCGTTCCCGAGCGAGTAGAGAGTCGTTATGACGGCATCTTGAGACAGAATGCCAAGTACTTGAGCCAGACACTTTCCAGCAACAGAGCCAGTATATTCTCCTAGCACGCGCCCTTCGATAATGAACCTCAGAAGAGAGCGGCTTCCAGAGGATGCACTGGCCAGAGACATCCTTGAGATGATAGCTATGCTTTTCAGGGTGGCCGTTGCAAGCTCGAGACTTGCCATCTGGTTGGGGTCTGCCAGTGTGTCCTCCAACCAGGATAGAAAGGCCCCACTATTAGCAGCATTTCCACTCAATATGACGCAGTTCAAGTATCCAATAAGAGCAAACGCTTTCACAGAAAAGGTGAGCTGTTTTTGCCAGGGTGAACCCAGTTGAAGATAATCGGAACCATCCTCAAGGAGTTGAATTTCGTCAGCAATTATCTCTGTTATACGATCAATGAGGGTGATTTCAGCGTCATCGCTACTCCTGGCAATCCCAACCCCATTCATGTAGTCGTCGAGAAGCTCTTCATCAGACAAATTTTGAGCTCCCACAAGGGAAGTAGCGCATGATTTGACGAAACGCATGAACCCTTGTTGCAGAAGCATAGCGCCTAGAGGACGTCTGTTTGCAGCATATTGTCGGGTGTACCTTCTCCAGTCCCTCAATGTAGGATCAGCCATGCTCGCATTTCGGACAGTGGATGAGGCGGTCTCAATTGCAACCATGAAGCTTTCAGACAACATGGATCGTACGTGCTCAACAATCTGCAGTTTTTCGCTGGCAGACCAAAGTGAAGGAAACTGTGCCGATGCTTCTAAAAATCCAACAAGAGAAACGGCGAGTGATAGAATACGCTTGTGCTCTTGAACAGCCCCGTATTTGTCGCCTGCAGAATCGTAGCGCTGAAGAGGTGTAATGGCATCAATAGCATCCACACAGCTATATAGGTACTCGTTGACAGCGCTGAGAGTGGCTGAGCGTAACGGAGGAAAATTGGAGCCCAGTGAGAGCAGTGACGATGTCAGTTTGTGAGTGAGCGTCTCCCAAGGTGAGGGCTTCATGTCATTCAGGAAAGGGGACGGCCGAAAGCACTGGCTATGAGACTCGGGTAGGTAGGGGAACAGTTGCGACACCAATTTCGAAGCGTGATCAAATTTGGTAACCGAAGGCGCAGCATCGCATAAAGCGAGAAGTACATCCAATTCTCTAGAATCCTTCGTGAATCAGTTCTGAGTTGTGTTTTCAGTCACGAACAAACTCAAATCGCATACCATCGGCAATTGGGAGATCGTTCTCTTATTGTTTACGACACCATCTGGCGAGACGTTCGAACGACTCGATGTGTGCGGACATCGTTGAGAGAGCCGCGTGACGTCCGACAGGTTATCGCAGCCTGCTTCTGTGACGGATAAAGTTGCAAGTTTGTCCAGGGCACGGCGTCTGATGTTTGTGAAGAAGCTGCTGTAAGGTCAGTGTCGCTGATCTTAAAGTGGAAAGTGGTCGATATTTCTTACCAGTCCATTGTCAGAGGTTGCCTCTACTTGGATGTCTACTCTCTGGAAAACAGATGTCATCTAATTTGAGAGGAACGACACTTTGGTGTGCAGCAGCGGTTGTTGCTTTTGATGGTGTTTGCAGTCAAATGGCTACCTAGGTAGGTACATGTACCTTAACTCAAGACAATGTAGCTCCAAGGGAATGATAGGGAACTTGATACTGAAAGTCTAAAATAGGTACCTACGTTAGGTACTGCAGACCTTATCTTTGTAAAGTCGTTACCCCATGCGGAGACAATATATACGTAATTATTGTGTATCTTACATTCAAATACGGGAGCAAGAACGGAGCTCGGGACTCGGCTCTCAATAGGAGCATCACAAGCCCGTAGACAGCACACGTGCATGGGTAAATAGAGAAGCCTGGAGGATAATTCTGACGATAGTAAATCTGCAGGACTTGATAGACTACATAGGGAGGAGGAAATTGATTTGATGCTGAAAGGCCCATTTTTAGCCTCATGAACCTGATGAACAAGGATTTAAAAAGGCGGTCTGCTCAAACATCAAGAACAAGGAAGCAGAGGGATCGAGCATATAATCATGATTTGCTACAATCTCAGAGTATCTCTATTAGGAAGGCAGTGGGCACACACTGCACAACTGCTGAGGGTAAGGTAGTAAAGTATCTACCGTCTGAGTTTTTGAGAACCTAAGATTCACCTCCATACTACTAGGTAGGCAGGCACATTTCTCCGTACTGTGACTATTTGTTTCAGTTGAGGTACATTTTAGTGGGTCGCGTTCACGTATCCCTAGGTAAGGGTACCAAGGTACAAAAGTACCATCCTTTCTACTGGAGGAGTACAGATCAAAATACTAGCTACTAGAATATACCTAGACACCTGATGATACCCTTCTTGAATTGGCATTTCGTCCAGCAATTCAAGGTACTATTGCCGCATCCAAGCTAATCTGGTATCAAGACCAGTCTCCGGGTCTAGACTTGACCGCTTAAGTTAACTGCTCTCTCGGACCCGTGATCCTCACCTTCGACCTTGACTCCAAGGAGTTATCAGAGCATTGTCTCAAAAAATTTATCTCTCCAATTCTCAGTCATGCAAAAATGAGATAGGTTCTACGCCTGCGTGACACTGAACGCCGTGCATCGCCTCGGATACGCGGTCGGTCAAAAGCTGGATCCGCCTATCCTTTGTCTTTCGAAGGCTCCCAAAGTGCCGGTATTTGAATCAATCTGAGGTCTGTCGAGGCATGCAAATCAATGAATGATGGCACCTCAGAACGAACAGAGTTCTCTCAAACGTAGCAGGGTATGTATCTTCTGTGCACCCTCCCTTCTCCTTCGTTCAATGCTAAAAGCGAGTTCTTCTAGGTCAACACAGATGGCGATCAACAAGATCTAAAGAAGCCTCGACGCTCCGAGAGGATTACATCTAAGAACCAGTCGCAAGCGACCCCGGTCAACCAAACGTACTTGCCCACCCCGTTGACTAAACTAGACTCGACCGCTACGGATGTTCGGAATGAAGTCACCGCTACTCCACCGGACAGTCCTAGCCAAGCTATATCGAGTGTCGAGCAACTCAAGGCTTGTTCATCTCCTCCTGGTGACACTCAAGCTCTTTCACAATTCGTTTATCCACCCAGGGCATTCGCCGATGAAGTCGAGGATGAAGCAGCAGAGGGAGTTTGGGGTTATCTGATTCCTCTTGATGACAAAGTTCGAGATGCGCTTGTGTTGAGAAAGCGCCATAGCTGCGATACTCGCAAGAACGGTGACTCAAAGACTCAGCCGAGCAAAGAATCCCAGCACTCTCAAGACAAAAGTCCAGTCAGCAGACAGAGACTTAATCGACCTCCTGGGGGTTATCTGGTCGGTCGTCATCCAGAGTGCGGTGGGTGTTTACAGTCGGCTATTGCTCCTTTCCTGAAGATTCTAACGGCATCCAGACCTGGTTATTAATATTCCCACAATATCCAATCGACATTTCCTAATATTCAGCGAAAACAAGAACGGCGATTCTGTCGCAATTGTGGAAGATCTGTCCAGCAATGGCACCTTTGTAAATGATGCCATTATCGGGCGAAACAAGTATCGCGAGCTTGAAGATGGCGATGAAATCACCATCCTGGATGAAGCGCGATTCGTTTTTAGATATCCCCGGACGAGAGACACGAACGGTTTCCGCCAGCAGTATCGGTTGCTTCAGCAGCTCGGAAAAGGTCATTTTGCAACCGTTTACTTATGTGTAGAACGTGCGACTGGCACTCGATATGCCGTCAAAGTGTTTGAGAGACGTCCTGGCGATTCTCAGAAGTCTCAGACTGAGTCCTTGCAGCAAGAGATTGGCCTCTTAATGGGGGTCAATCACCCGAATCTTCTGTGCTTGAAGGATACCTTCGACGAAGCTGACGGCGTTTATCTCGTTCTCGAGCTTGCACCTGAGGGCGAGCTCTTTAATCTGATTGTTAGCAGACAAAAATTTTCCGAAGAAGAAACCCGCCATATCTTCGTTCAGCTCTTTGAGGGTCTGAAATACCTGGTAAGTTCTTTGTTTCATCGATCGCAACCTGCGCTACCATTCAACCATCCATTTTGTAGACGGGAGGCAACCCCCTGACGGAAAAGGAGTCTTGGACTGATTCAAACACAGCATGATCGTGGCATCGTCCATCGAGACATTAAACCCGAGAATATACTTGTAGCAGACAAAAAGCTGACTGTGAAACTTGGTGACTTTGGACTTGCGAAGATCATCGGGGAAGATTCATTCACCACAACTCTGTATGTGCTGCCTTCTCTTTATTCAGACCGTTTTCTCCTTTGCCATAACTGATCCATTTTGTTCATAGGTGTGGGACACCAAGTTGTAAGTTAAATATCAGCCATTTGGGATTTCGTCAGTTCTGATTTTCTTTAGATGTCGCTCCAGAGATCTTACAGGAGTCTCGTCGTCGAAGATACACCAAGGCTGTGGACATCTGGTCATTGGGAGTCGTTCTATACATATGCCTTTGCGGATTTCCCCCTTTCTCAGATGAGCTTTACACGCGTGAGAACCCCTTCACATTGGCACAGCAGATCAAAATGGGCCGATTTGATTATCCATCACCGTATTGGGATTCCGTGGGCGACCCAGCTTTGGACCTGATAGACAGGATGCTTACAGTTGATGTTGAGAAAAGAATCACGGTGGATGAATGTCTGGAACATCCTTGGCTTACCGGGAAATACATGAGCGTTTCCGATAGCACGGAGGGGCTGACGGGTGCGCTGGGAAAGCTCGACTTCTCAAAACGCAAAGTCGAGCGCGAGCGGACATTGCTCAGCAGCATCAATGACGCTCATTTCAGCGAACACAAGGAAGGATCCGGTGCTCCTGTGAAGGTCTTCCTCAAGAACAATGCTGGCAAGCGCATGCACAACCAGCCAGCCCACACTATCCATCAAAATGAGGCCCCGCCCGATGAGAATAGCGCTCCCAAGGATTTCGTAAATCTTGGAGAGCGCGGTGACCCAGTGTTGTTTGAGGAAGACCCAACAACTCATTATAAGTGATCAGAGGCCGTCTTATTCACATCAAAATCACATCATTGTTAACGTTGGGATGCTGCAAAGGGATGATCGCCCAGTTCAGCCGCCTGACGGTCAAGAGCCCTTGAAAACCTCGAGTACGAGAATAATGATATCAAAAGCGCCACACAATGACCAGTATTGATATGCTCATTTAAGTTGTAGCAGTCGTGTGTCCGCCCGTCAGTTGATGCTACCCCAAGGAGATTGGACAATGACTGCTGCACAGCATCATGAGTACTGCCTACTATCTAACTGTTTGAAGTTAGTAGATTACCTGTGGCCACCAGGCAATACCGTTGCATCTTCGTCTGTCCCAGCAAAGCTAAACTAGAGACAAATGTAGAGTACCTTGTAGTCACCCTCTTTTTGCCTTTCACTATGCCTTGGATCCTTGGCGATACGTGGTACTAAATTACATCCAACCATGAGATATCATTGTTTCAGGACACCCGGCTCCGTTGAAGTGGCGTGATTATTCAAGGAACCTTACCATAGGTTGCTTTGCCAAATCAGATTAGTTCTAGCGCAACTAGGGCCAGTTAGTCCAGGGGTTTAATGATCCATTCCTGGTGGGTGAATAAGAATAAGAAGGGATCCATGGGCGGTGACTGGATACTTGCCCAGAAAAAAACAAGCCAACCAGCAGATACCTATCCTTTTCCTTCTCATCTTCATTTGCTCTTCCCCAATTCCTGTACTCTCGGTTCGTTTGTCAGTTCGTGCGTTCTTGAGGCCTCTCAAAAATTCGTCCATTTCTGTTCAAGGATTAGGAGGGTGCCTCTAAGCGAGACACTCAACTTTCCTTTATTCGCTGCGACAGTTACTCGGTTGATCAATTCGAACACTGTGCTGCAGCGATGGGTCTTATCGCATTTATTCTCGACGGCATCTGCAAGCATTGCTCGACTCGGTCAACATGGGCGCTTGTTGGGGTCGGACTACTGTCCATACTCGCTGTATCTGTCATTATCAATGTCCTGCAGCAGCTTCTGTTCAAAAACCCTCACGAGCCTCCAGTGGTCTTCCACTGGTTCCCCTTTATTGGCAGCACCATCAGTTATGGCATTGATCCATACAAGTTCTTTTTCGACTGCCGCGCAAAGGTTTGCATTGTCGCAGCCAAATTATGTGTCTAGCTAACTTTCTTTGCCCGGCAGTATGGCGATATCTTCACATTTGTTCTCCTTGGCAAGAAGACAACGGTGTATCTTGGTACGAAGGGCAATGAATTCATTCTAAACGGCAAGCTGCGAGATGTTTGCGCTGAGKAGGTCTATTCACCACTGACTACGCCTGTTTTTGGTCGACATGTCGTGTATGACTGTCCTAATGCTAAGCTTATGGAGCAGAAGAAGGTAAGCGACTTTGGCAAAAACACACCTTGGATCCAGCGACTAATAATCCTAGTTCGTCAAATACGGTCTCACC